TGTGTGTGTGTGTGTGTGTGTGTGTGTGTGTGTGCTTTCCCACAGACCTACATCCTCCGTCCCTTTTATCTTTATTCAGGGAAAGGATCTTGCTAAGTTGCTGTGGCCTGAAACTTGCAGTCCCCCTGCCTCACCTCCGGGGTCTCTCAGGTCACAGGTGGGCCACCATGCCTGGTTGCAGGTGTGTTGCCTCTGCCCAAACAGGAACAAGGGAGAAGGTGGCTGGATTTCCCCTACCCCACAGCAGAGGCCTCTGGTAGGACTTAGAGTCTCCAGCCCTGCCCAGCACCCAGCCAGTGTCCTTGGAGCCGGTGTGGGGACAAGGAAACTCTGGACATGGTGACAGGTGACTCTGGTCCAGTGCTCTCCCTGTCGCCACCTTCCTAACTTCAAGGAGAAGCCAGGACACTGGGTGCCAGCCCCCTGGGCCCTGCCCCTCTCCACAGCTATGTGCACCCACACGGGCTGTGGTCCTGGTCAGAGGCCGCTGCCCTCCCAGAGTGTGGCCAGGGAACAGAGAGGCAGGAGATGCCCGAGTTCCCGGGCGGCTTGGACCCGGGGCAGGAAGTGCTGCCCCAGCTGCGGTACCCTGCATGCCCCCTGAACTGTAGGTAGCGAGTACTTCCTGTCTGCTGGCCTGTCCCTAACCACTGTCTCTCCCCTGGACAGCCAGCTGCTTGAGCCAGGAGCTTCTTCCTTGTGTACCTGTGGCAGTTGCCCTGCTCCCAAGCCCAGGATTCAGCGTAAGGTCCTGGCCTGAATGAATGGATTTAATTTGGTGGCGCCAGCCAGGCACAGGCCCCCAATTCCCCTCTCCAATATGCAGAGCCCCTGAGCCCTGAGCCCTTGCAGGAACCCTTGGTCCCTGGCAGTTGAATTGCTCTCATTTCCCTTTTATGAGCTGCAGCAGGTGTGAATGACCTGAATCGCCGCGCACCCAAAGCCAGGCTCTGCCAGGGAGGGAACCTGGAGTGTTCCCACGTGGTCCTTCCCCTCCTGGGTTGAAGAGCACGTCAGGAACCGGGCGCCCTGAGCGGTATTTACTACTTGGAGCAGCTCAGGTTGCTTCTGAGAAGGGGGGAATGGGAGCTTCCAGAGATCTTGCTCCCAATAAAACTGCTGAAGCAAGGTCAAGCATTTCCAGGAGGAGATAAAATGTTAATAAATGGTGGCCATTGTCCCACATTCCCAAATTTATGCAGTACAACTGTACGGCGTCTTCTCTCCTTGGTTAAATTCAGTGAGTAATTTCTGACTGTATTCGTTGCCGGAGGATATATTTCTTTAGAGTTAAATATCACTAGCTGTGCATTTTGATATGAGAAATGCAGGCTGCAATTTATAACCGACAAGATCGTAAGTGAGTCTCGGGCTGTGCTGAGAAGCAGGCCATGGGAAGTGAGCGTCAGCTCCAGAGTGTTTATTTTAGAATTCATTTGCAGGGAAACATCATTTCCAATTCCACTGTCAGGTTTTAATCCAGGATTGCTCATTCCTACTGCAGGCCTCCAAGACATTCGGGCGCCCACCTGGCCCTCAGGGGATGTGGCTGCCTGCACTGTTACCTGGCCTGCCGTCCTCCATGCCCTGGAGGGGCAGAGGAGCCATGGGCCCTGGCTGGACAGAGACCATGACGTAGCTTCCCAGTGAGGGTAGCCCCAGAAAATGTGGGGTGAGGAAGGAGGCTCAGCATGCTTCAAGCCCCATGGTCACCAACCTCAGCATGCTGCCTGGCTGCCTGTGCACCGTCCCTCACCCACCCCCAGCTGGGCTCCTGTGACCTTGGCAGGCATTGTGGTCTGCATGTGAGGTGTCCCCTAGAAGCTCTTGTGTGAGACATTTAAGAAGGATCAGAGGAGAAAAGATGAGGTTGTGGGAGTCTTCACCAATCGGTGCATGAATCCCCTGATGGGGTTAGCTGAGTGGTAACTGGAGGCAGGTGGGGTGTGGCTGGAGGAGGTGGGCTTGGGGGCGTGGCTTTGGGGTAGGTATTTGTATTTGGCAAGTGGAGTCTCTGCTTCCTGACCATCACCTGCTTCCCTTGGCCTCGCTCCTCTGCCATGATGCTCTGCCCCACTTGGAGCCCAGAGGAGTGGAGTCTGCTCTCGATGGATGGAGACCTCTGAAACCGTGAGCCCCCACATAAAATTTCCTCCCTCTAAAATTGTCCTGGTCAGATCCTGTATCACAGCGGCACAAGAGCTGACTAACAGCAGTGGCCTGTGCTTGGTGGGGTGGGGGTGGGGGGGCTCAGCGCCCTTGGCTGGAGCCACAGGGGGCAGAAGAGTGGGGGAGGGGACGAAGCCCTTGGTGTGGGGGTCCTGGGCCGAGGTGGGCAGCACCTAGGCTCTGCAGAGCCTGAGGCCCGGGCTCTGGAAGGGGCGTGGGGTTGGGGGACCATGTCTGCAGGTGTCCCCAGCCAGGGAACCCCTCTCTCCTCCCTCCCTCCCTCTCTCCTTCCTCCCTCCTCTGTCCTTCCCCACCCCCAGGCCATACCCTGGACACAGAGGGGCTGGACCTAGCATCCCTCTCAGGTCTCCCGCCCCAGGACCCTGGCGGTCAGCTCTCCCCTTGGCCTGTGTTCTGCTCACGTCTGCATCCACAGGCTCAGGGCACGGCCTAGAATCCGACACCCGTGAAACAGAAGCCCACCCTCTGACAGGGCAGGAGTAGGGGTCCACGTGGAAGCCCGCGGACCAAGCATCTGTGTGCTGGGATCAGATCGTGTGTGTGTGCCTGCTGCGACTCAAGCCAGTGTCCCAAGCTGGGCCCCGTAGCCCTTTACCACGTGGTGATGATTCTCAGACTCAGAGGTCGCTCTACAAAGAGGCCCCTGGCAGACTGCCTGGCAGAGGAGGGCACTCGGGGAACCTCGGACTCCTGGCCTCAGTTCACCCTTCCTGCACTCACCACCTGCTCACCCCCGCGACTGCGGAACTCCTGAGGAGCTGGGGAAGGGAGTGGGTGCCTGCCCCGGCCATCCCGGCAGGGCCCGCCTGTTGGGCTGGGGGAAGAGCTGAGGTGGACGCCCTGGCTGCTGGGTCACTCTCAGAGCCATGTTACTGGGCTCTAGCTTCCAACCAGAAAGGGTGAGGGCAGTGTGGGGGGAGGCTGGACCTCTACTGCCTCCTGGGCGTGGGCCTGCCGGGGGCTCCGCAGCCCTCAACCTGGTCCCCTCTGTGACCCTAGCATGTCTGGCACAACTTCACCACGTGGCACGATATGGGCCTGGTTTCATCTCCCCAGGCTCTGTGGGGACAGGCACCGTCCCGGGTGCCAGCCTGGGAAGTTGGCATCTTACCCCTGGACATGGGTGGGCCGCGCCCCTGGACATGGGCTGTGTGAGCAGCACCGAGATGCCATTCGGACTGAGCACCACCCAATGTTTGACTCTAGGACAATTCTGAAGCGTACTGAGAATTTTATGGGGTTTTTCTGTCTTGCTAATTTATGGAAAATAACTCCTGCCATTTTCCCACAGCCTGAGCCAAGGCTGTAAGATCCCCTGGAGGGCATTGGTCCCTAGATGACAAGCGATGACACAGATTCCTAGGGACAAGGGGTTCTCCCTATTAAAGCACATGGAGAGCGCTGTGTGTCCAGGGAAGCTGAGTCCGTGCAGAGCCGTGGGTGCTGGGGGCAGATGCCACCACCTGATGCTCCTGGTCTAGCCAGTGGGGCTGGATGGTCCCAGGGCTGCCACATGGGGAAAGTGACAGTTGGCAGGTGTCTAAAGGACAGTGAAGCTGACCAGGGAGCCTCCCCCTAGCTTCACACCCCTGGACACTGCCCCCTTGTGACCCTCAGCCCGACATTCAGGACAGGCCTCCTGGGTGGGAGTTGAACTTGCAAACCTACGCCCTTCCCTGTGCCACCCCGTGGTGCCACTCCAGGGTCCCTCCTCCAAATCCCGTGGGTGGCTTGGCCACGTCCCTGCAGCCTGCTCTCTGCCTGTTTCTGCCCCTCTGAGGAAGCTGGTGGCCTCCTCAGCCAGGAGCCGGGGTGTGCCCAGCAGGTGCTGCTACAGGAGTCCCGGAGGTGCTGTGGACAGGGGCAGCCTGCCTGATGCGCCTGAGTGTGGTGGCAGGCCACAGAGATGAGTCCCCCAGCCTGTCCCAGGCACCTGTCCCCAGATCATCTACTGTCGGCAGAGCTCACCCCTGGGCCCTGGGCAGCACGGGTCCCTTTCCTCTGCCGAGTGCAACCCCCTGCTTCCCAGTGCTGTGAGGGTCCGGCAGGTGGGGATGTCAGAGGAGGCGGCAACGGCACTTCTTGAAAACGGCCGGCAGTCCTGGGGCCTGGTGGCCAGTGCCCCTTGTCTGTGATGTGTCTTCCTTCCCCCACTGTCCCAGATGTCCGTCCCAGACCCTGAGTGCCCCTACCGTCCCCGAGGAAGCTCAATTCACATGGGGTCCATGCTCAGCCTCTCCCTGCCCTGGACGTGGATTCATGGAGCCAGGGGAAAGAGCTTTCTAGGCCCTTGTGGGCGGGTGGCTGTGGAGTCTCCAGAGGCTCCTACTTCCCATTGTCTGCTGGGAGGCCCGTCCCTCCTGTGGGGCTACTCTTCCCTGGGTAGGGTGCACCGGTCTCTGCCGCAGCCCAATGGCAGAGGCCCCAGGAGCTCTCTGGCCCCAGGCTTATCCTGGAGCTGGTAAAGGCAGCGAGATCTGGCTGGGATTTCACTGGAGCCCATAAAATCTCTCCCCCACTGTGCTGTGCAGGCTGCTAAGCTGGCAGGCAGAGTTTAAAATTGCTGCTGGCCGTCCCTGCAGGGGTCTGGAGAGGAGTTCCAGAGGATAAACGCAGCTCTGGGGAGGAGGGGCCACGAGACGCAGAAGCTGGTCCAAACCCAGGGGACTGCGGAGCTGGCTGTGTCCGAGGAAGCCCACCAGACGGAGGTCCACAGCAGCTCCCAGCTACTCCAGTGGTGGTCAGGAGGAGCTGGTGCCTTGGTTTTGGAGGTGCTGATCGACAAGGGGAGGGCCATAAGGAGCCTCTGACTGGAGCTGCAGTACCCAGCACCTCCCGTGCGGCCCGGGACCCAGCACAGAGAGCCCAGGTGGAGGCCCGGGTGCCACGCCAGGGCACAGGGTGCAGGCAGCAGCCCTGAGGGTCGACAAAGGCCACACAGAGCCCAGGTGCTCTGGGCCTGGAGCCGCAGGGAGGCTGAGTGTGGCCTGACGGGCTCCCCACAGGCACGCGGCCTCACTCGCCAGCTAGAAGAAGCCGCGGGAGAGCTACACGCTACACGGCGAGGCTGGGTGTGTGCCCAGCCTGGCCCAAGCCCAGCCGCAGCTCAGTTTGCTGTCCTTGCTTCAACCCTTGAGTAGAGAGAAACAGAGCAAGGAGCCCACCCTGCCCTCAGAGGCTCCTCCCTGCCGAGGGGCATGGTGCTTGCCCCATCCAGGCACGTCCTGGAAGGTTCCGGGACATCTAGGCCAGCCATGTGTGCCTCACGCCTCTCGCTCTCCAAGTGCACTTCCACTTTTACTTTGCACGTGATTTCCTTGGGACATCGTCTCTCTACTTCCTCTCTGCTGACCTTCCTGGCTGACCTGGCCATGGCTCCCTGTGCAGAGCCTGTGGAGGAGGCCTGAGGGGAACCTGCCCAGTGCTGGTTGCAGTGAGCCTCGGGGCTGCCCGCGAGTCCAGGGTCTTTCTGCTCCCCCAGCCCTTCTTGGATCCAGAGAAAATTCAATGTCCAGTGTGGCCCAGGGAGTCTCTCTCTGAGGGTGGGGGGCTGCTCCGAGGGTTTGGAAGGGACACCTCTGGCTGGCACTGTTGACCCACTCTCCTGCCCGGCCCTTGGGTCTTCTCTCCCAGCCTGCTCAGCTTGGCTCCCTGTACAACGCCACACTAGGTCCCCGTCTCCTCCCCGTTATCCTTGGAAGCCTGGCCGGCTGCCCTTCCTCGGCTCTCAGCAGGGGACAGGAGAGCAGGTCCCGGCACCACCTCCCCACTCTGCCTGAGCCTTGCCCTGAGCCTGAACAGCACTTCACTAGCAGGAGGTGGCTGCTTGGCCCGGCTGGGGTGGCCCCTGGGGAGTGTTCTGTGGATGGACACATGGTGGATCTCAGACCCTGGAGTCTCTATCTGCCTGTGGGGACCTTCACCGCATCCTGAGGTGGTCACTTCCAACAGGCCCCTGCCGGAGGGGCACCTCAGATTCCCGGCTCCTGGGCGGGAGTCACACATTTACCCAACCCCCAGCAGCTTTCTCTGAGCTGGTCACAGAGGAGGGTACAGACAGCTCATGGCTTGTCAGACACAGTATCTGACCACTTTCAGATGAGTTCAGGTGTGTGTGGTGGGGTGGGGGTGCGAGCGTTCTCTGCAAACTCTTCAGCATCTTATACAAGTGGCTGAGCATCCGAGGACCTCACATCATCGGTGGTCCACTGGCCCAGGGCACAGTGGCCTTGGGTCGGTACAAGTGTGCGGCACGGTCTGGGACAGGTGGGCCTCAGGTCCCCTGGTGCTGGGGACTAGACCCGGCCTCGTGCATGCTGGGTAAGTGCTCTACCGAGCTCAGCCCCAGCCCTGGCCCTTTGTAGCTTCAGAACCTGTGTCTGCAGATTCCAACCACAGGTGGAAAACATTTAGGGAAAAAATGGCCTGTGCTGAGCATATACAGAGTTTTTTCCTTATTTTTACTCCCAAACCATACAGGGTAAGGACGATCTCTGCAGCGTTTATCTTTTGAGTCATCTAGAGATGCATTCAGGTGGGGGTCGAGCGTTCTCTGCAAACACTTCAGCATTTATACAAGTGGCTTGAGCATGCGAGGACCTCACGTCATCTGGCCCTGGAGCTGGTCCCTGGGGACACCGAGGGGTGGCTGTATCTGACTGCTGGGCTCCCGTCAGTCAAGCTGTGCAGACTCGGGATGCTGAGAAGGAAGAGCTAGACCTTGGGCGGCTGAAGAGACTAATGTCGGGCGCGACACCTGGAGGAGCTGTAATAATCCCATAGAGCGGTGATTAGAGTAATGTCAGGGGACGGCAATCTTGTTAGGCTTGAACGCAAAAAGAAAAGACGCAGACAGCGGGAACCGGCGCTTCGCTGTCACCCAAGGCTGCTTGGTGACAAGTGGGCGGTGCGCTTGCTCCGGGAGGGAAGCGTTGGAGGATCCCGGAGTCCTCAGAGCTCTGTGCTGCCTGTGAGTGGCTGTCAGCGAGGGAGACCAGGGTTTGTCTGAAGAGCAGGCTGTGCAGGCTCGGAGCCAGCCCTGCCCTGAGGTGCCTGCTTCAGGCCAGGCTGTCCCCAGCAACCTTGTGCTGCAGCAAATTCACTTCACTTTGCAGAGGACTTTCCTCTGTGTGCACACTGCAGAAATCAGAAACACGGAGGAAAGCCATGCCTCCTGGAGCCGCTCCACAAGAACGACGCTTCCTGTTAAAATCGTTTCTGGTAGATTTCCTTCTAGACCCTTTTTGTTCTTAAAAAATAAAATAAACAGCTGATGTGCCACAGGCAGGCTCCGAACTCAGCACTTCCCACACGTGTCCTCTTGCTCCCAGGAGTGGCCCTGGGAGGCCCCGGGAGGCCCCGGGAGGCCCCGGGAGGCAGACGCAGCTGTCTGAAGCTGGAAGACTGAAGTCCCTCGTCACCCGAAGGCACCAGTGAGGGCTGCCGCTGGGACGAGGACCTGGACTCTGCGGAGCCCGGAGCCCGACAGAGCGGCTGCAGAGTGTGGGGCCGGGCTCCAGCCCAGGCTCCTGGGGCAGTGGCTCCCCACACTCACTCCCCGCTCACTGGTCCCTCCCTGGGAAGCCCAGTGACCGTCTTCTGCTGCGCCTGGGCCTGTGGGCAGTGCTGCTTTTCTGCAGACAGATAGGGGTGACCGCACGGCTCTGCTGGATCCGGCCTGAACCCAAAGACACCAGGGCCCAGTGCTCCCTGGAGCACCCGCGGCTTTCAGGGGAAGAACCTAAGGGCAGGAGACAGGAGGCAGGAAGCAGCCGGTCACCAGCTGACGTGCTCGCCAGGCCCAGGCCCAGGCCCACCACAGCCACACCCAGGAGAGGATGCTCCAGGCCTGGGAGCCTCCACCCAGCCCGCCCCGGGCTGCTCCAGGCCTGCTTGGCCCTCGGCTGGAGGCCCCATCTGCTGCCAGCAGCAAGCCCCAGCAAGCGGCTCTCCTGCTCTGCCAGCTGCGCCCCCTGGAGGCCGGCAGGAGGATGGTCCCGCCAGGCCTTCCCAGAGGGGCAGCTCACCTGGGCTTGACATGCCGCCTGCGGGTTCCTACCTGCGGGCTGTGGGCAGGGCTGACCTGACCCTGTGGACTGCACACCATGGGCAGAGGTGCTGCCCACTGCCCCTCGGAGATGGTCGCCGGATCCCCAAGCTCCTGCTAGACGTCCCGGGGAGCTGAGCTCGCTGGCCTGGCCACCGCCTGCTGGACAGTCTTCATGCGACTCCGTCTCCGTGCTCTGTCTCCCCTGGCGTTCCTCCCACGTGGTCCAGGTGGACGCCCGCTGGCCTGAGCCCCAGAGGCCCCCACAGTGAGACGGCACCTCCTGTCCCCATCTGCACCCTGGCCAGCCCCTGTTCTGTGAGCCTCTGACTGCAGTGTTGGATGGGCCTCCTC